CCAAGGATTCAGATGCAGACTTCTTTGTGGGAGGCTTTATTCTGCCTACCTCACAGCTCCATTTAAATTCTTTTGACCAATCTCTCTCTCTGATACTAAGGAGTGTGTGTATGCATGTTGTTGGTGTGTGTGAGTGTGAGTTATCCAGTTTATGCAGCTCAGCCACATCAGAAATAGCTGTAGTTTCAAAATTGTACTTCTCTAACCTTTGTTCTTCATATTCATCATTTTCTTTGTTTTAATGACTTTTATACCTTTGTCCTTTCTAAGAAGAAATCTCAAGTCTACACTACATGTCACAAATTTCATTTGCTGCAGTGGCACTTTTGCCTTCTAAGTAATTTCTAAAGTTATTTCTGCATTGTAAACCTTGAAATATTTCCTCTCACTTATCTTTATTGCTTTCTGTGCCTATATCTTAGAGGCCAAGATTTGTCATCATATTAAAGATGCAAAATTATTGTCTAAAATTTTTCCTGTCCCTATAGTGAACAAACTCCTAGACAATAAATTCATGGATGTGATCTTCCTCTGGATCTTTCTATTATAATGACTGCTATGATGACTATTATCCAGCGGACACCCATTTAATGTGCTAGACACTAGGCTGCCATTTACCTATAACATATCCTTCCGGTTTTCACAGGCTTCATCTTTTCTTTTTCTTCCCTGTTCTTCTAAGGTCAAGGGGTTTACTTTGTTTTATGTAGCAAAGGAAGTATTGACTAATGACTATAATCTTCAATTCTACTGTGTAGGTCTTATGCTTAGTGGTTATCCCTCTGTGAATCTGGCTAGAGGTTTTTGTCATATTTTTGTTGAGTTTTCACAAGTATTTTAATTATTAGGAAAAAAAACTGCACCAAGGACTACTGAAATACCTTATTGGCTAAGAAAGTATGGCTCCATTGTAGATACTCAAACTGAAGACATGCCTCAGCCCTACACACTCCTGAGGTGAGGTAAAGTTTTAAATTGAATTTATGTTGTTTTTCCAGACTTCTCTTTTCCTTCCACCATTGAAAGAGTAGACAGCTTTTGTAATTTCTTTACATCAGGGAGGTTAGCAGGAAGGTAGTGTGGGGGAATTCAAAGGCTATTTTGCTGAAAGCTTTCTATGAAAGCTTAAGCCTGTGTTGGAATTTTGCTAGGAGCCTAGGAGTAGAGAGAGGGCCTTGGAGAAGCAAAAGTTGGAGGGTGGAGATTCCTAGAGGCCAGAAAGAGGAGAATGTTCTCCCCTAACTACCCTCCCTGTACATGGAAGAGATTAAGACCTCTGAGCGTTCACAGCCCCCCAGAAGATTTCACCTAAGCATGATCAGAAACCGTAGATCCATCAGATTCAAAAGGATCATGAAGACTAGGAATCTGGGGGACTCCAGAGGTTACCTATGACCACTAATTGGAAAAAGAACTATTTTCTATGCACATGGTTACCTATGACCAGTATATCCATGTGGTGGAAATATCGTATGATAGTGTGCTGCATATCTCTTTCCAACCCTGCATTCATTGACACTAGTTATTGTGGCAGTATTTACACCATAGAAGTCAGCAAACACTACCAATCAGGGCTTGATTTATTATTTTGCTGATTGTTTAAGCTTAAGAAAGTTATGAAAACACAGTAATACTATGGGTTAAATTAAAATTTTTTTTTAACGTTTATTCATTTTTGAGAGACAGAGAGAGACAGAGCATGAGCGGGCAAGGGGCAGAGAGAGGGAGACACAGAATCTGAAGCAGGCTCCAGGCTCTGCGCTGTCAGCACAGAGCCCACGCAGGGCTCAAACTCACGAACTGCGAGGTCATGACCTGAGCTGAAGTCGGACACTCAACTGACTGAGCCACCCAGGCACCCCTACTATGGGTTACATTTAGAAGTGTGTTGTATCTGTGGCTATTTCATTGTGAAGAGCACAGAAAACTGAGGAAATATCCTTCCAGTGTTTAAAACATTTTAACTGATTCAGTAAAGAAGTCATGCACATTATCATGAATTATTTAAGTGCTCACATATGCCTTTGTTGTTTCATTTTCCTCTTATTAATGTGTAGGCAAATAGCAACCAATATTCATGTCAGATTTCAACTCATAGGTCCATGATGTGAACAACTTCTTTGCTGAGTAGATAGCAATCAAAATAATCAAGCATTTATTCCTAGTCAAACGTATCGTAAACTTGCATAAATATGCGTAATTTTTTTGTAAAGCTAATTAAACATTTCGTAGCATACCACTGGTATGCATATGCATGCTTAAGCAGTACACCAGTTGTTTTCTTCAATCTGTTTCCATCTTTCCATCACTGAAAACTTTTGCCATTTAGTTTTTAATTTGTTTTGAAGTTTCCTATGTCTCTGACCACTTATATGCCATCTCATTTTTGGGGGCCACTGCCATAACCAGAGCCTGCAGAAGTATTGCTCTCTTCCACTCCCCGGGTTCTGAGGCTTTCTCCCTCCTGCTTGGAGGTGTTTTTGATCCCCCTTTGGAACATTTGCTTTTTGCTTCCTTTTTAGACTAAAAATATATCCTCTACTTCCACCATGTTCCCAAACTTAGCCTGTGTGAGAAATAAAATACATCTTAGGCCCTTAAGTAATTTTGCATGGCAATCCATTCTAGGAGTACCTGTACAAACTCCTCCCCAGCTTGCTAGTGCCTTCCTCAGCTAGAGTAGACGGAACCGTGTGCCTCGCAGAGGGATCAGATCCCACATCCTTGCTGTTCATTGTTGCAAGCTGTTGATAGCCTCCTTACTTTCTCATACTTTGAGTGGTCCTTCCTTTGCAGTGGGGAGGGCCAAGGTGAGCAGTTGAGGCAGTAGCTTGCCACAAGTGCTCTAATCGTAATGTAACTCACGAACACCATCAGGAAAGTGAGCTCTACCATCTCCTGGTCTGGAAACCTGCCTACACCGTGATGGTGCCAGCATTTAGAAAAGGCAAAATGATTCATTCACCTGTTTATTCCAGTTAGGAGCAATGACAGGAGTGCGTAACACCCAAGGAGTTCTTAACAAGCAGGACTGGATTTATGTCTTTACAGAAAACAAATAGAAATTTAGAACTCCTTCCTTTGCTTCCTTTGTTTGCTGTTTTGTTTCTTCCTTGGGGATGTGTGAGATTTAGAGAAGCAGAAGGGTGGGGGGAAGAAATGCTGCAAGGATGTGTGTGGTGAACTTGGGGTTCAATGACTATTTTAGGCTTGTACTTCCACATGATTCTATTACCATGACATCATAATATGTGCTAATGTGTCTATTCCATTCTAGAAAAAGCTAGTATATGTAAGGCATTTAGAGCTGTGCAAGGTATATAGTAAGCACTTACTAATTGTATTAGTTGCAGTAGGATGGGCTATTTTGCTTTAGAAAATAGACTTCCAAATCTCAAGGACTTCATCCCATACAGAGCTATTTCCTTCTCACATAGCAGTCTGATGTATAATGCGGGGAGGGGAGCTTTCCTGAAGGCTAGAGACTCAGACCTGCAGCTTGCTTCCTGCTTGAACCTATACCATGTGAAACATATAGCCTTCAAGGTCACTTTGGAGGGCCCAGAGTGTTGTCTGGGATAATTGCTAAGGACTAAAATAGAAATAACGTGAAAGCGACCACTCTGAGAGTGGGCAATAGGTCAAAGATTACTTCTGCCCACATTCGATTGGCCAGAACCTAGTCATATGACCCACTTAACCACAAGTAAAGCTGGGAACCACAGAGGAGCACATGGAGAACTGTGCAGACTGCCTACTTTTGCCATTATGAGCATTAGCTATAACAACACCACCAATAATAGTAATCTTATTATTCTCCAATGATAGCATTATTATTCTCCAAGAATGGAGTATTTTCTTCTGGTTATGTTTGCTATCTATATTTCTATTGAACTCAGAGTTTTAGATTACTTTGTAACTTATGCCATCTGTTTCTAAAATACCATGAAACTTACCTTAATTTTGTCCATAATGGGAGAGTAACCTAATTTTATTTTATTCTCCATATCAGGAGAGCCACCTTACTGACAGCAGTTGAATTTCCTAGTAACCAACTAAACAAGGGCTCAGAGTTAAAATTCAGTCAATATAAAGAAATGAAGTATTTATCACACACCTGAGTATGCAGTCTGAGACTGATTCCTACCCCCTCAAAATATACACTCTATGCAGGGATACTGAAAGAGATTGAAGTAATCTCAACTTTTAGGACCATTCCATGAGCCTGTTAATGAGGTCTGGCCATTTTAAGAGCACTGAAAAAAAAAAAAAAAGTTTCTTGTGAGCTACAGCCTTCCATATGTTAGGTTGCAGCTTAGAGATCTGGTGGAGAAAGGGTTGCACTTGGTAATCTTATGTATCAACCAAAAAGCATGAGAAAGACTGTATTCTAGTCCTCACCCTCTGGTTCTTTTAGGACACTGAGTTTAAGGCTTCCAGTTCTGCCAATGGGCAGTGCAGACAATGTCATTTCCATTTTGTATTTTTATGAGTTCAGAGAAATATATTAATTTTCTCAAGGTCACAAGGTAAATTGGAAGTGTATGGTATATTTAGGGCTCAATATGCAAACCATGTGTCTGGGAGAATAATGGGAGAGAAAACTGGAAAATAGGTTCAGAGCAGATCATAGAGTGGTTTGAAGATGTCCACTTATGTTTTGGATATTTTTCTTTTGGCAAAAGGACTTATGTGCAATTTCCTTGCAAGAAAGCACCATGATCCAGATGGTGCTTTATGGAGATTAATCTACCAGTGGGAGAAGGGTTGGTTAAAGGTGGGAAGCAAAAAACAGAGAGCCTCCTTAGGAGGAAATTGTAATTATCCCAATGTGGTCTGAGACTTAGATTATGGTTATAGGGTCAAAGATGGAAATTAAAATTTAAGCCTAAGTGCAGCATTTTCATGTTCTATTTAAGGCTGAAAGATGTTTATATGCTTTTAAAATGAACTTTTTTGACGTCATGTTTCTCTTTCTTTTCCTCTTATTTTTTTTAAAGATTTTCCCCCTATTTAATCTGCTGTGTTTCATCCCACTGAATTCTCAGCCCACCTAAGATCATTTAAGTAGCACTTCATTAAGAATGATAAAGACATTGGGAGAAGCCAGGATGCTTTCAACCAACATTTCCATCATCTGTCATCTGGCTTGATAAGTAGCACTTCCAATGTGAGGCATCAGGGTGTTCTTCAACTTCAACAAAGAATGATCTCTGGGCAGGAGCCCTGGTGTATCACATCCAGTGCTGTCTCCTTACTAACCTTTAACATCTGAAGACCTTCCACCAGGGCATCTTGATCAACTAATAGACATTTACCAGTGTGTTAAATGATGTGATAAAGGATGCAAATCAACAGCCAGATGAAGAGATGCCTAGGGCGACATGTGGGAAAAGGGTACAAGTTTTCATGCCCTCTCCAGGCCACCACTCTCCCCATATCTCCACCTGCTCACCAATCTGGCAGCTCCTCTCCTTTCCTCTTTTGAAGTATCCATTCTGTCTGATGGCTTTTACATCCATACTTCCTTCATTCCAGCAGTGGCCCTGCCAGCTGTCAGAGGACTGAAATCTTCATGGACCCATTCTGGAGTTTTCTTTTGTTATGTTATGTTATGTTATGTTATGTTATGTTATGTTATGTTATGTTATGTTATTTTTAGAGAGAGAAGTGGGGGGAAAGGGGCAAAGAGAGAGAGAGAGAATCCCAAGCAGGCTCCACACTCAGTGCAGAGACCAATGTAGGGGCTTGATCCGATGACACTGGGATCATAACCTGAACCAAATCAAGAGTCAGATGCCCAACCCACTGAGCCACCCAGGCACTCCTGGGGTTTTCTTCTATGAGTTGTTCTTTTCTCCAACCATTCTAATGATTCTCTGATCTGCCCTCTATTACTTAATACATTCCTTTTCTGCTCACTTTTCCTAGAGGCTGTTTCTGCTACTTCCAAATAAGAGCCATTACTGATTCATTTGTTAAATTTGATGCCATAACCTGGACGTTAACTAGAACTACCCTGCCCTGATGATTTAGATAAAATTGATTCAAACTACATTCAATAGGTTGCGGAAAGTCCAATGTCTTCTCCAAGATTTCTACACATTCTACAGGAGATCTAGGTTCTCATGGACACATCTGACTCAGTCTTTTGCTTCCTCTAAATCAGGATTTCTCAACCTTGACATTTTAGGCTGGACAATTCTTTCTTGTGGGTGGCTGTCTTGCACACTGGAGGAATTTTGGCAGCACTCCTGGCTGCTACCCACTTGATGCTAGCGGTTACTCTGTCCTAGTTATGATCATCAAAAGTGTCTCCAGACATTACTAAATGTTGCCTGGGGGGCAAAATCACTCCTACTTCGGAACCACTATCCTAAATTAGTTCAGTGTAGGAACTGACACCTATTGTCCCTGTTGTCACCAAGTCAACATAGGCATGGTACTCAAACTTTTTTCTTAATTTCCACCATTTTTTTTAAGTCACAAAAGGTACCTCTACTGGTAGAAAATATGACGGAAGTTCTGGGGAAATTGAGAGATTTTCATCATGAGTATGCAACCAATAAGAATTTGTTAGGTGCCCGTATTCTTAAAAACTTCTCTTGGTCATTTTGTCTAGCCTCTGGCCACATTGCTTGCCCCTCCTTGGTTTCTCTTCCCTTATCTCTCTTTACCTTCTCTATTCTCTGTTCTTCCCTACTTGCAAATTTGTGTCCATTTTCAATTCAGTGGTTTAGTTATATTATTTTACTTCTCTGTACCAACTCATCTCCTTAGGGTCTTACTTTCCACCCCTAATTGGTGAATTGAGGTATTTTTCTGAACAAAAAAGGCACCTCTCCCATAGTAATTCTGTAACCTATTATGATAATTAAAATGGAATCTTGTTGCAGTTCTCACTGACAAGCTCCCTCTATGTAGCCACGGTAGTATTAACCCCTTTCACAGGAAGAAAGCTATTCTCATTATCTACTGCAGCATAACAACTGACCAAAACTTAGTGGCTTAAAATAACAACTGTTCCGTCATATCTCTCTTCAAATGGCATATCCACGTGGTTAGCTTGGATTCCTCCAGCAGGCTATGCCTGGACTCGTTCACTTTTTACATGGTGGCTCAGGGCTCCTGGAGGAAGGGCTGTATGTACCAAGAAGAGAGAGCTGCCAGTGTCTTAAACCTTGAGTCTTCAGTGTCCCTTTTCACATATGGGTCAAAGTAGTCACAGAGCCTGTCAGATTCAAGTCAAAGTGTTGTATCTTTATTTTACAACAAATTTTGATGTTACTCCTTCATGCCAGTTACCCTCTTCCCCACCCAGGACCCCTCCAAAGTTCCATTCCATCAGACTCAGACTTGAGATCTAGGTTTTTGATGCATCAGATAACTAAAAAAAAAGAGCCAAGAGAGCCTGGTGCTCTGAAAGCTGAGGAACAGATGGATCTCAAGAAGATCAAGTAACAGAGATGAGGAGAGGAGAGCTTTGGCTGTGGCCAATGGAAGACTTGGGTCCCCTACTCACTCCTTCACTGTGATGGTGATGCTGGGAGCCAGAGACCTTGTTTATTTCCCTTATTATATATGTTTCTTTTCCTGATGACACAGCACATGTTTCTTATAGAAATTCAGAAAATATGGAAAATTATAAAAAAAGAAAGTGTAATGCATAGATAACCCCTGAAACCTTGCATTGAATTGATTTCTGTATTCTTTATATAAACATGAATACTTACAGATGCATGTATATATGAGCATATGTGTATACATATTTATTCCTTTTTACTCCCGTGCTTCCTCTGATTGTTCAATCACCAGCAAGACTGTGTGTGTGTGTGTGTGTGTGTGTGTGTGTGTGTGTGCGCGCGCGCGCACTCAGGGTAAGGTCACAGCAGGAATGTGAAGAGAAAGGAAGGAGACAATTATCAGTATTTACATTTTCTAAATAGACTTGACATTCCTGGAAGAGACATTACTTAGAGAAAAAAGATTTCTGAGTCTCCAAGTTTGCCTTTGGGGACAAAAGCTCAATTTTATCTTTGTAAATAATAGACTTTGGAAGCATGAGTGATGTAGGAGTCAATTTTCCTGCCGTGGATTTGATAGAAATGTCACAGCTGAGCAAGGAGAGATTTGGGAGGAATGATGGAGTTTTGGTGTTGGTCTAGGTCTCACAGACACTCCCATACTTTGCAGAATAATGGAAGTCCTACAGTGGTGGGGCCGGGACCTCAAGCAGAGGACTATATACTGATTCCCGGGGAAATCTGAGGGGGCAGTGATAATGGCACAGAAGTCTCTCGTGCTCACACATCACAGCAGTAATGAAGAAATGAGCAAAACAAGGCAAGTCTAGCTGGAGAGCTCACCCCACGTTGCCTGTGGCCAAGGAGGCTTGGGAAAGTGCCCTGGGGTTTCATTTGCTCCAAAGGTGTAGAGAAGGACCAAGAGAAGGCAGAGAGACAACTCTTGATGGAGCCATAAGTGTCTAAGTGGAGGCAAGCCCACCACGTGCAAATCACCAGATAAACAAAGACAAGTGATGGCTCAACCTATGCCAGTGACAGACAGAGGGTGAGGAAGGACCGGCCTTTCCTCGCTCTGTGCTGCCACAATCCAGTGGACAGAGGGGCCAATCTAATGGAAGGAGGAGGGAAGCAGTAGATCCCTTAAATGATTGTTTAAACACAAGCGCTGAAGAAAACCCTGGTGTGATTGAGCTACCTCATAGCTAACCAGATCCATTTTTTTGTCCATCAAGCAAAATGAAGGATTAAAGCAAAAATCAAGTTGAGATTTAAACAAAAATAGTTACATTTTCTGCACACTGTGACCTGAGAAGTATGTGTCATTGTTTGTTTGTGTGTGTGTATACATGGTCATCTCTATTATTCCCTGAAGTTTTGATCACACTGTTCATGGAGTTTTACTAAACATTATATCATGAACAATTTAACCATGTCATTAAATATTCTTTGGAATGCCCTTATTGGTGCATAAGTCCAGTATACTGATACAGTGTTCCTTCCTTCCCCTTCCTTCCTTTCCTCCACAACTACCCCATTGTGAAACACTTACTTTGTTTCAAATTGTTCATTGTTAAATGTAACGTTTTTAAAAAATGTTTTAAATCTTTTTCTGTAACTTGCATTAATTTCCTGTGGAACAGTTTCCAAAAGTGAATTTACTGGGTGCAGGTACATAAATATCTTTAAGTCTTCTCATTCACATTGTCAAACTGCCCCCCCCCAACTTTGCCTTTTATATTCCCACCAGACAGTTCCTTCACACAAATGTGTCTTTTCTCAGAGACTACTCAGGAAGGTAAAGTTCTGTGTAAGTGTTACAAAGTGGGGTATGGTCCCAGCAGATTAAAGGCCCTGAGTATATTTTGACTCTTGTCTGGACTTTGAAACATCAAAAGTGAGTAGCGCTCTAGACTGTCCTTTGCCACTGAAAGTATATAAAATGTTAAGCCACTAGAGGGCAGAGTTATCTCACTAAACCAAGGGTTTTTTTTTTGTTTGTTTGTTTTTGTAGAGCCCAAGCCAGTTCATAACATCAACCTACATCAAAATCTTGACATTGCCATCAAGGTGACTTCAATTATTTTAACAAAGTGACAAACAGAGGCAGGGATGCTTTAAATTTAAACCAGGCAGTTCCCAATTACTGTAATAAACACATTGTATTCACACTGCTTCTTCAAGACTGAACTTTTAATTTCCTTTTAGTTTATTTATTTATTTATTTTGAGAGAGAGAGAGAGAATGCAAGTGGAGGAGGGGCAGAGAGAGAGGGAGAGAGAAAGAATCCAAAGCAGGCTCCATGCTAACAGCGTGGAGCCCAACGGGGGCCTTGAATTCACAAAACGGTGAGATCATGACCTGTGCGGAAATCAAGGCCGGATACTTAACTGACTGAGCCACCCAGGAGCCCCTGAAGTTTTAATTTTAGAATAGTTTTCAATTTACAGAAAAACTGTGAAAATAGTACAGACTTCCCATATGCCCCAAACCCAGTTCTTCCTATTGTTAACCTCTTGAGAATTGTACATTTATTACAACTAAGGGACTGATATTGACATATTACTATTAAGTAAAGTCTATATACAGATTATCTTAGTTTTAAACAATGTTCTTTATTTATTCCAGGAAACCACATTATATTTAGTTGTTACGGTCTCCTTAGGCTCCTCTTGGCTGTGACCTTTTCTCAAACTTTCCTTGTTTTTGAGGACCTTGACAGCTTTGAGGAGTACTGAGCAGGTATTTTGTAGAATGTCCCTCTACTGGTATTTGTCTGAGGTTTTTCTCATTGTTCGACCAGAATTATGAGTTTAGGGGAGAAATATCACAGAGGTAAAGGGGCATGTTCATCTCATCATGCTGAGGGCGCATACTACCAACCTGATTTGTCACTGTTGATGTTGACCTCCATCACCTGGCTGAGGGAGAGTGTGTCAGGATTCTCCACCTCTCAGTTACTCTTTTTTTCCTCTTTCTATACTGCACTCTTTGGCAGGAAGTCGCTATGTGCAGACTACACATGAGTGGAGAGCTATGTAACCCTGCCTGGGGCAGGGGGGCAGTATCTACATAAATTATTTGGATTCTTCTGTGTAGGAGAGTTCTCTCTTCTCCCCTATTTATTTATTTACTCTTTTTTTTTTTAATTTTTTTTTCAACGTTTTTTATTTATTTTTGGGACAGAGAGAAACAGAGCATGAACGGGGGAGGGGCAGAGAGAGAGGGAGACACAGAATCGGAAACAGGCTCCAGGCTCCGAGCCATCAGCCCAGAGCCTGACGCGGGGCTCGAACTCACGGACCGCGAGATCGTGACCTGGCTGAAGTCGGACGCTTAACCGACTGCGCCACCCAGGCGCCCCTATTTACTCTATCTTTTATTGACATCAGTGTGTGTGGATTCATGGATATCAATTTTATGCATTGGGTTATAATCCAAATCCAATTTTTATATTTTCTTGCTTAGACTGTTTTAGCTTTGGCCATTGTGGGGGGGGGGGGGGTATTCAGTTGCTTCAGTACCTTCTTGATATATCTCCACCATTGTTTGGTTTTGTTTTGATTTTGAGCACTTCCTTACCTTCTAGCACTCGAAGAGTCTCCAGGCTCATCTTGTTTATTTGCTGCTCTAGTCCTAAAATCAGTCATTTTTCCAAGGAAACCTGGATCTTTTTCTTGGAAAGTGGTATTGGAAACAAAGATCTGAGTGCTAGGTTTATGTTCTCTCATGTACACATCTTGTACACTTCTATTCTTCCAACAGCACTGTGAAGTTATTAGACCTGTTTTATAGATGAGCAATCTTTGCAGCCTTGCACAGACTCCCCCACTTAGCTGTAGAGCCTGGCTAATGTCTGGATTTGGGGTGACTACAAATTCATGTTCTTTCACTATGCCCAAGAAATAATGGTTAAGTGGAGTGTCCATTATTGCATGCAATTGCATGAATGATTTTTGCCTTTACTTTTACTATTTTCTCCAGAGAGAGAAGCTGCTTTTGTCATGGAATCAATTGTTTGCCAAAGCTCTTCGGTGGTGCTTCAGGTGCTCCCATTTTTACCGAGCGCATGCACCACTGCGGACCTAGGATCTCAGACTGCCTTGCCCAGGCTCGTGTGATCAGAGGAAGGGGAGTGACCAGAGGACCCCAGGGAGGCTATGAACAGGACCAGGGCCAGTCGGGTTTGGGAGAGGCAGGGACTGGAGGGGAGAAAAGAAACAGAGCACATTACAGAAATGAAACATTCTGGAAGAAAGAAGTATCCTAGAGCAAAGGAGAAGGGCTACTGCATGGTAGCAAAACCTCAATTTTGGGGGGCAGTTCGGGGAGTTCAGTGCATCCTTAATGAGGATTCATTTCCTGCCACCAAGTGAACTGCACAGCTTCTTTACGTCTTTTCTGTGCAATTGGAATAAACTTGCATTACATTTCCTTGGGAGTAATATTAACTCCATATCCTTGGGAGTAATATTAACTTCTAGTTCATTGGCCCCTTCAGGGAGAATGATATTGTGAAACTCTCCATTTGGTCTGTTGTAGAGGTTAAGTAGACATTAAAGAAGTTATGCTATAGCAAAATCTATGTTTAATAAAATTATTTTTTTCTGATTATGACATTAGAGTATGTTTATTGTGAAATAATAGACGATACAAATAATTTAATAAAGCAAAGATACCACTCAGAGATATTCACTGTTAGGGTTTTGTTCTGCTTCCTTTTTTTTTCTTCTGTTTTTTTTTTTTTTTTTTTCTCCTTGTCTACACATCCATGGATAATATTGGGCTTGTGTTGCATATAAAATTTTACATCTTGATTTTCACTTGATATTCCATTACCTTTCCCATGTTATTAAATATTCCTAAAGATATGACATCTGATAGATGCATTATCCTCCATAACATTGGATATATTCAGTTAGAACTATATGCTGTGATGAATTTTTTACGTATTCATTTTGAATGTAGCCAAAAGTATTCCCTCTGGGACAAGTTCTAGAAGTGGAATAGATTTCTAGAAGTGGTGAGAATGAAAAGTGTCTACCTCATAGAGTTGATGACAGGAATATGAGGGGAGGTGAGTTACCTTACACCAGAGTTTGGTATAGGCAAGCATTCAATGAATGTTGGCATTGCCATTATAAATATATTCTTCCTGGTAAATACTAGCAAATAGTCTTCCAGAAAACTTTTCATTCTTAACATGAGCATGTTATCAGATACTTTAATAGTAATTGAAATTATTGTAAACCATAACATTAGGCTTTGTGAATGACATCTGGGATAAGAGATGGGGTCTTGCCAAAGGGGTTGAAGAAATTAGCAGTAGATCTCCCAAAGAGACGGTTGGAGGGGTGAGAAAGATCTTGGAAAGGAGTGGTGAGACAAATATCACCAGTGGATCTAATGGGAGTGAGACCAGGGCTCATGCTGGGATGCTGGGTATGCACATGTAGGTGTGTGCATGTGTGTGTGTGTGTGTGTGTGTGTGTGTGTGTGTGTGTATGTGTGTGTGTGACATTGTGACATCGGTTTTGGGCTGCATACCCAGGAGCAGTCACAGATTATTGAGGACATAATATAAGCTAAATGGGGTCACCAGTGCTTTGAGGAGGGAGGCAGGCCAGCTGCTGTCCAGAACATGGAATGTTTAGTTGTAGAGAATGTATAAGCTGGAGACCATCTGTTCTATCACAAGGGTTGTAAAGGACAAAGCAAAGAAGAACCTGGAGATTCAAAATTAAAGATAATCACTAAAGTAGTAAATTCTAATAAATGAAACTGGAATTTAAGGCAGTAGCAAAAAAGAGTAGGTTAAGAAACAAAGGCAAGTTATTGTTTCCAAAGAACCACGGTCTAAAACACATCTATGTTACCAGGAGGCGAAGGAAGCACTTTGACTCGTTCCCATCCTCACCTGCAAGGGCTTGTGGTCTGAAAACTCAAGCATTCCCTCCTAGACTACCCTCACCTCATTACCTCACATATGTTCAATCATGACGGCCTCATGACCTGCCTTAACTCTCTGTGCTGGGCAGTATTAAGTGCTTTACAGTGTACAAAGATGGGGCAAATAATATCAGTTCTATTGTACAGATGAGGAAACTGAGCCTCAAGGCAGAGAAGAGACCCTTGTCAAGGGCACATGATGAAAGAAAAAGAGACAGGAAGTGGATGTGGTTCCTACCTCCTCTTCCAAAATAATTGACTATTTCATAGCCTTTGATGTGTAAGCTCCCAGCCGCCAGATGCCAGCAGAGTGCCAGCTGGGGAAGGTGACCTGTGCTGGGAGGGAGGTAGCACAGGAGGGAGAGAAGAAGAAGGCTGGGACACCTTGTGACAGACTGGAGCTTCTGAGTCCTTCCCATGCCAAGATAATCTGGCTCTGAATTTCTCTTATTTAAAAGGCTGGGTGGGACACCTGGGTGGCTCAGTCGGTTGAGCATCCAACTCTTGGTTTCAGCTTAGGTCATGATCCCAAGATTTGTGGGATAGAGCCCTGCCTAGGGCTCCATGCTAAAGGAAGGAACCTGCTTGGGATTCTTTCTCCCTCTCTCCCTCTGCCCCTCCCCCCTCAAAATAAATGAATAAACTTAAATGAATGAAATGAATAAAAAATAAAAAAAAACAAAAGCCTGGGGTTGCCCTTGTTAGACAGTGACACTTGCAGAGGTCGGCTACGATCTTCCTGTTTTCCGTGATATCTGATGGCCTTTCAAAGACCCTGGGAAACCCAGGACTGCAAAACTGCCCTCCCTTATGTTAAACTACCCCTTCCAACATTAAGAACTTTGCAGAAGTCAGAGCACCCAATAGCAACAGCAATATTTACCTCATACTGACTCTTCTCTCTCCTAACTTCTTGTCAACTCCCAAGATAAGAGGTCAAGGAATCTGTTGTCAATCACACTGACCAGAAGTGGCAAGGCAATAATCGGAGCCCAAGCTATGTGACATCAAGGCTAATACTCTTTTAGTTTATTGACTTATAGTTGAATTACAATCAACTGAACATATGTAATGTGCAAAATATGTCAGGGACACACCCGTGAAGACATCGCCACAATCAAGAGGACTGAAGCCCTTGCTCTCAACCAGCTTCGACTTGTAGTATCAAGCCCATCCTTCTACTGGAAGAGCAGTCAGATATTTGAAGAGACCCACTTGTGCTTTTGAAATGTCCTGTTCCTTAAGGTAAGCACCATCCTAAGTTTCCGCAAATGCATTTCATAGTACCCAGGGGAGTTTCTTTTATCAGCTTGTTAACCCTCCCATAGGGATTTTGCCTAGGTAATTGGATACTTGGATGATTCTCCAGTCTGTCAAAAGTCATGCAAGCTTTTGTCCTGAAGCCCATAGGCTGGGACCAGGCCTGCAGGGGGCAGCCAGTGGTGCCCAATGCAAGCCCTGGGTAGGCAGATGGGCCAGGGTTGGGAGGTCTCCAGGTTAGCAGATGCTGCTTTGAATGCTCTCGTGCTAGTGGGCTCACACCCTACAAGTAAGCGATCAATCTGTAGATGTGTTTATTTTAGAAAGACAAATAAAAACATTTGAATTGTCTTTTTCCTCCATTTTCACATATATAGGGAAGACAAAATTCACAAGTACAGCTTCATGTTCAACCTCTACTAAATATATATGTATATATTTACTTATTTATTGCTTATTTATTTTTGAGAGAGAGAGAGATACACACATGGAGCACGAGTGGGGGAGGAGCAGGGAGAGAGGGAGACACAGAATCCGAAGAAGGCTCCAGGCTCCCCTGAATATATATTTAGGCACCCCTAAAATATGTGTGTGTGTGTATGTATTTACATATATATTTTTTAATGTTTTTATTTTATTTTTTGGAGAGAGAGAGAGAGAGAGACCAAGCACGAGCAGGGGAGGAGCAGAGAGCAAGGGAGACACAGAATCAGAAGCAGGTTCCAGGCTCCAAGCTGTCAGCACAAAGCCCATCGCAGGGCTACAACCTACAAACTGTGAGATTATGATCTGAGCGGAAGTTGGATGCTTAACTGACTGAGTACTTTCAAATTTTTAGTATCTTTTCTTTAAAAATATTTTTCTAAGTTTTCTGACACTAGGCTGGGCATGTACACGTTATCTTACATATCCTTACTACATCCCATAGAATAGAGTAGTAATATTCCATTTCACAGGTGAAAAACTGAAGCATAGGGTAGGTAAGTAAGCTGGCAACTTTTCCACTGCTATTAAATGGTAGAGCCATAATATACAGTGTGTGATCTAAGGCTAGATCTGGTTTCAGTGCATCAAGGGTTTGGGGCAGGGGGGTGGCAGAGGGAAATGGGGATCAGTGACTTAAATCCCAAATCTAAGGACTCCTTTGATTTAATACCCTTAAATACACCCCATCACCCCCACATACATATGTTTTCTGCTGTTATAGAAATGGGATAATGTTCTACACAGCATTCTGTGACTTAACTTTGCAGGTATGTATCATAGACAGCTTGCCATGATTATAGACCTAGCTTATTCTTTTATTCTCCTTTTTTTTTTTAAGTAATGCAAGTATAATATAACCTATAGTTGTCAAACCTTGTGTTTCTTCTCCCAGGGACTCTGGTATGGTAGGTCTGGGTTTGGACCAAGGTTTGTGGAGTGACTGACAGCCACCACTGTTTTAAAAAACTTCTGCTGTTCTAAGCCACCTCCTGAAGAGTGGATGAGAAATAAACAGAGCAACAACAAGACACACAACCAGCCAGATACAAGGGCCCTGGGGCCAAAGAGGGTTTCACAGGGACTTGCAAAGGAAGGAAGTGCCAAGACAGGGACAGCTCCCATCCCCCTCTGAGGGAACGGGAGATTAGGCTGGAGGCTGGAGGATTTAGCTCAAAGTTGCATTTGCATGGCAAACGCAGTGTTTACTGGGCTGTTAATTTGAGGTCTTTGGCAGAGTTAATGGCGGCTTGAGGGAGAGCTCAAAAACCTGAGCCCCCTCAGATGCCACACTAATGGGGGTGGGGGTGTCTGAGTACTAGGGGTGCCTTATTTCTGCTTTCCATTCTCTTTTTTCACCAGGAAATAATATTTCCCATTACCCATTTGCTTAGGGCCTTGAAAGACATGTGTAATATGGACAAATCAAAGCTCTGAACTTCATTAGTCTTCTCCCAAAATGTCATGGGTTGATCTACTTGAGGGTCTCCTATGTTCTGTGCGGCTTCTTACTTGTTGATGAGAGCAATAACTAAGCATAAAATGGACATCAGGGAGGAGGGAAGCAGAGAGGCCCAATAGCCAGTCCCAGCTTTGTCTCTCTCTTTCCATCTCCAGCCGGGATCCGTTCTTGATTCCCACCAGGCAGCCAGCCCTGTGTCTGGGTCATTCTGGGGCCAGGGTGGAGGTCCTGAACCCTGCTCAGGCTGGCTCATCAGTGCTCAGCAATATCACACTCCCTACCAGTCTGACCAGAGATGGTGCCCTGATACTTCTAATTGGGCTCCTACTTCATTCCTAAGTCTAGGTTCCAAGTCCCTGTCTGGCCACCCATATTTAGCCCAGATCCTTCCTAAAAGTAAGGACTAGTCTTTCTCTTGCCAGGCTCTGACTTGGTATTGGAACCTGGCCTCAGACCCAAAGTCTCTGATTGGGATTGGCCACTAGAGGATGGACTCCAGGAGCCAGCTTCCTGCTGTCTGGATTTCCAGGTATCACCTGCCCCATGTTCCTCATAGCTGGACTCCAACAGCTTGTTGGAAACGTTCCACTTCTGTTTTATGTCCCTCCCCCCACTTCCTTGGCCAACTGCTCTCTTGAGCTGTAAGCAAAGATTGACATAAGTTTCAGTTGCTGGCTAGATTAAACTTCCTTTGTTAGCTCCTGCAATTTCATCAGTTTCCCAAGTGTAGCTTTTTTTTTTTTTAACCCAGTAGGTATATCCAATGTCATGTCCCAATCCCTCTCTATCCTGCCCAAGTGATGGGAAACACCCTACATTTCTGTGATATGGCCATAACCTTATACAACTGGTGGGTCCTTGGAATTTTCTATTTAAATCAAGCTTTTCAAATGAAATTCTCTTTTAAATATTCTAGAGAGAATGTTTCAAATATCTGACTCTGATTCTTTTACGGAAGGTGGACAACAGTATGGTGCTATGTGACGTACATTATACAAAACTTCAGTCCCCGAGTTGAATCCTATCTTTCCTATTGTAACCTTGGACACGTCATTATACAGTCTTCCTGGAACTTTTTCTTCACCCAAGAAACAATGAGGGTCATTTAGTAATGTCTAAGGCTGAATTGTAACAGTCTATAATTCTTAACAGTTACACTCTAAAATGTATTATTTTCTATATTCAAATTTCTAGCTTAAAAGTTCTTAGAATTAAGTACACTGGCATGAAGTTTCTGCCTGGGGATTTACTCTTTTGACTTTTTTTTTTTTCTAAATAGACTGTCTTTCGTGACCTAAAATTATCATCTTAGTTGCCAACCAAGGTAAGCTTCACAGAGGGGAAGCCGCCTTACCTTTAGAGAGGAATCTTTTAGTTTAGTTTTGGAAATCACAGAATGCACGGGAATGGGGCTTTTCTGAATGTGGATATATGAGCCACCCCGAACCACCTTAAAGCAGGTCAGACCCCAGTGCTGAGCAGGGAGAATCAGAGACAACGCCTCTGAGAAGTAGAGATAGCCATTAGCGAGCTCTTTTCTTCTGTAATTAAAGGGAAAGCCTTGTATCTTTGTATTAGACCCTTTAATCTAAGGGTTGCTAAATGTTTTACAAACATTAATTAATTCAGTTGAGCTTCACATCAGCACCTTGAGGCAGGTAATTCCTCTTTGGGACATCACATCTTCAGTTTTCCACATTATGCATTAGTGCAGATTAAGTTAGTTAATAATAACAGTAAAACTTTGAGTTTAGATAAAGTTCTATAGCCAACAGTCTCAAGTATTCTACAAATATCAGATTTGGGTAATGAGGACTAAAGAGGAAGCTTGAGGCAGCTCGTTGCCAACGATGACAAGGCAGAAAGGCTGCACATGATTGAGGTTCTACTCCATGCTGAGGACACATGACCTTGAACAGTTCTTTGACCCCTTTGTGACTCAGTTCCTACAGCTCTCAAGTGGGGGCAATAATATTACTCACCTCTGTACTTCACAGAGATGTTGCAAGGAATAATGTTTGTAATATGCTGTGGAGTTCTCAGATGAAAGGTGGAAATTAATATATGATGAAACATTATTACCACTTATCTTCACACCGTCTAAATGGGTTAGGCTAGAGAAGTATCAGCATCCCCACAGCGCTGGCAGAAACTAGTCCTGCCATTATTTCCATTTAACATCTGTTATATACACCCAAAGAGGTTGAGAATTGCTCAGAGCAGTGGGTATGCTCGTGGGATAAATGAGAGCAAGCTGAGATACCAGATCAACAAAGAGGTAGCTAATTATTTCTTTTCTTTTCTTTTCTTTTCTTTTTTTTCTTTTTCATTCTTATTTTGAGATGAAATGTTTAAGAGGAAATGAGTGCAGAGGGAGAATCAGAGAATGGCTGAAGCAACTTTTCTTCAGACATTCCTCTCAATTCTAGGTCATCAGCATATGTGTGTGATTCATAGTCTCTGAAGGAGCTCTTGTGCAAGAACTCCTCTGTGACTTTGCTTTCTGTCTCCTTTTCCAGTAATGTTTTCCCTAGCCATCTCCATTGATCTAGGCCAGCATAGAGCTCCCTACCTCCACAGAGCCTTCCCGGCTTCATTCTCTACCTGGACTTTGTCCTCTGCCACTCCTTTGTATTTAGCACATGTTTTGTAATTTATATTTTAGTGTTGGTCTTGCTTTCCAGCAGACTTCACTCTTCAAAGGTGTATTCTAGTAATCTCTGTTCTTCATCTAGTACAGGTCTTGATATACTGAAGTCAATCAAATAAGTATTAAATGAATAAATGGAAACTGTCAGCAAAATGTCACGATTTGAATTCAGACCACACCAAATTCATATCTGCTCTTCTCACCATGTGTGAGCCACCTGCAGTGCAGAATAGAAATATTGAACAGGCAAACTGGGAAGAGAAAGACTGATCTAAACTTTCAACCCCTTTGGGTATATACCAAGAAACACATATGGTAAGATGCTTAATTTTGTAAGAAACCCCCAAACAAACAAACAAAAAGAAACCCCCAAACTGTCTCCCAAAGTGTTTGCACCATTTTGCATTCCCACCAGCAATGAATGGGAATTCCTTTTGCTCCACATACTTGTCAGCACTTGGTGTTGTCGGTGCTATCAATTTTGGCCATTTTAATAGATTTGTAGTGATATTTCATTGTTGTTTTAATTTGCACTTCCCTGACAACATTATCAAACATGTTGAAAACATGTGTCTACACAAAAGTCCTCCCATGAATGTATGCAGCTTTATCCATAATTGCCAAAACTTGGAAACAACCGAGATGTCCTTGGGAGGTGAATGGATAAATAAACCATGGTATATCCAGGCAGTGAAGTGTTATTCAGCTCTAAAAGGGAATGAGCTATTGAGGCGCAAAAAAACGTGGAGGTAACTTACATGTATATTACTAAAGGAAAGAAGTCACTTTAATAAGGCAACATGCTGTAGGATTCCAATAGTATAACATTCTGGAGAAAGCAAAATGATTGAGTTAGTAAAAGAATCGGTAGTTGCTAGGGGTTGGGAGAGACATAGGGATGAATATAAGGAGCAGAGAGAATTTTTAGGGCAGTGGAACTAGTCTGTATGATACTGTGATGGTGGATATATATGCCATTATACATCTGTCAAAACTCATAGGATGTATGACACTAATGTAAATTTTGGACTTGGGGTGAAAATGATGTGTTGAGGTTGGTTCATCGACTGTAACAAATGCATCATTCTGGGTGTTGACAATAGGGGGGAAGGATGTGTATACACAGAAAGTATATGGGAATCTCTGTACCTTCTGCTCAGTTTTGGTGTGAACCTAAAACTAGTCTAAATAATAAAGTCTATTAAATTATTTTTTAACAAAAAAATTAAACTTTCCAACAGGGAAATTGAGGTGTCACTTAGAGGGTTCAAGGGAACTCTCCAAAGGCGTTTAATATCACTTTAGAACCTGCTGATGCAATGATTCCTATAATATTTACACAGGAGCTGATCACAAAAAAATGTGTGTATTTATGAAATCAGTTTGCTTTCACTTGTGTCATTACCCATTGCATTAAGTCCAGACCCAGGCCTCAAATTCAAGACCTCCCTGGAATGTCCTTGATCTGTATTTTCTGCCACATCTCGCTCTCCTCTTCTTCTGTCACACAGCCTGGCTACAGGAAAGGTGATGAATGCACCCTGGACAAAGCTGTGTGCCTCTCCTTCTGATGGCTCCCCTGCTTCAAATTCTTGTTCTGGGAGTGGCCCCACTCCCAGGCCAGGCTTCAGCATCTCCACCTGCTAAGACCTTCCTTCCCTGTCTGTTTTCAAGGCCCTTCTCAAATGCTTCCTCCACACAGAGGTTTCCTAGCCAAATAAAGGCAACATTCCTTGCAGAACACTTTGTATATAGCACATGAACCTGTATATATACTGGAAGATCACTGCTCATAAGTCACGCTGCCATTGGGGCACTGGGATGTTTTACTATTAGAACTCCTGGAGGAACGTGAGGAAACTGTCACTATTTCACAGTCGTCGGTTCTACTGGGCCATGTCGTTGGAGATGATTTCCTACAGATTTCCCTGGGTTTCACAAAAATGTTTCGTGTTCTTAGGGACTTCTTTTGCTATTCAAGTTTGGCTTCAATATTGTTATTGCATGAGTAGATTTGTTGAGTGACATAAGTTTGGGCGAAGGCTTTCCTTGAACTCTTAATCATTTGCACACTCATCCTCACCCACGGTGGTGCCCGAGTTGCCAAGTGTATTGAGGATCCCAGCCAGGGGCACCAGTGCAAGGATTACCAATTATGGACAAGAGAATGAAACCCTCTTCTCTTACCTGCACTCTGGCATCAGGATGCTTATCACCACTTTACATACTAACACTCAACCCCCATCAGTTGGTGCAAACTTTGAAATCTCACTGTAATCATCTCTCTCCTACATATTTGAACGACTGCCTGCTGGAGCTCTAACGGGTTCACTTACCTTTCTGTGAGGTAAGTTTTTTATTGAGATAACTCTCACTCACAAAATTCTCTCTTTAAAGGTGTGTAATTTAGTGAACTTTAGTATATTCACAAAGTTGTGCAGCCAAAAATCACTGTCTAATTCTGGAACATTTTCATCCCCCCTCCCCCCAAAAAAATCCCATACTCCTTATATTTTGATCTTGTGGTGAAATGCTAATTCCCTTCTATTTATTTGATGAAATGTGTGCTAATGATATTTGGAAACTCAAAACAGTATGCATATGTTTTGTAATTCATATTACAATAGCTTAGTATTTTTTATGTTTATCTTGCTGATACTTTATCATTTGATCAAGGTTTTATGTGCATGCATGCACACACACACACACACACACTTTAGTCTTGATCTTTTTTTTAAGTTTGTTTATTTATTTTGACAGAGAGAGAGGCGGAGAGAGAGGAAGAGAGAGAATCTCAAGCAGGATCCACAGCTGACAACACGCAGAGCCTGATGTGAGGCTCAATCTCATGAACCATAAGATATGACCTGAGCCGAAGTCAAGAGTCTGACTCTTAGGCGATTGAGCCACCCAGGCACCCCTAGTCGTGGTCTTGTTAGGGCTACTAGGGTCAAGTTGGGGATATTAGTGCCAAGAGTTGTAGCTTGAAGGAGTGAGTGGACACGGTGAAGGTAAAAATAACTCTACTTTATTGAACACATACTTCTTCCCTTGTACTGTTCTTCACACAACAGTTTTAGGAAGTTCTAGTTCAGGTAAGTTCTATTATCATCACCTTTATGTGAGGAAATAAAGGTTTTCTAAAGCTTATGACATGTGTTATCCTAAAATGGCAGAACTGGGCCATCTTGGTTCACAGCCCAAATTGAAACCCAGGCTCTTCAAGTTCAGGGCACATACCTTTAACCACTATGTACTACTACCTGCTGTTATATTGGACCTTTAGTTTAATGACACCAACAGCACTTGATTAGAGCTGTACAATATGCTCTCCCAAGTCCTCATTCAATGCCTCAAATTACTGGATGAGAAGAGGCAGCTCCTGTAGGTTAAATAATCACACGGCTGACAGAGCATGGACCAGCAGCTGGGATCCAGGTTTCTCTCCAGAGCCACAGTGGCTGTGTGTTCATTCCCCTACACCATGTTGAGGCCTCTGACAGCTCTCTCAGACTTCTGGTCTAGCTTTCATAGTAACAAACCGCCTTCTATCATATTTATTTGTACGTTTGAATCCTGACGTCAGTCTGAGGGTAGCAGATATCACTTGATTTATATGGGCAGTCCCTGTGCTCAGATTATGTATATTGAATGAAGGTGTGGATAAATTAAAAAATTAGTCTTGCCACATAGTCATGTGAATATTTTATTTCTAGACTTCCTCAAGAGTTTAACCACCAGTATCTTCGTGAGAGGAGACCACATACAATAGTTTGCTTATACCTTTGTTCTTTCTCTATGGTTTTCCCAAAAGTAAACTCAATTCCACATACACATTGAGTAGAACATTTTTGCATGCACAAAGAAATGTGATTACAAATAACTTTGGAAGAGGATTAGTCGTAATTTGTACCTTTTGTAAGTAAAATGAATGAGGATACTATTAAAAGCTGGTGGATTGGGGCTTTCAGTAATCAAATAAAATCTGCAACTCTGTCAGCCACCCCTCCCCACCCCCCCCACCCCAATTCCTTAGCCTCTGTGAATAAAGCAGTGACCTGGGAGTTCTTGAGCCCGCTCCCCCACTCCTCGGAAAGGTCTTGCCAACTCGGCATTGTCCTGTTGGATTTGCAGTCAGATGTCTTATGCTGGCAGGCACTGGGCAGGCAATGAGTTCTTTCCCTGTAAATTGGGCACAAAAAGACCGGCATGGGAGCAGCCTCTTTGGGGACAGCTGCTCTGAGACAATGCTGTAAGCAAGGCAGAAATTCCTCCGAGCAGAGGGCGACTGGTGGGAGGAGTTCAGTTTGCTAAGTATTGTCATTTGCCGAGAGTAGGTGTGTGCACAAGAAGGAGTCTTAACCTGGAGAATCATTAACTCTTTCAGTCAGCTGGCTAGCTGCGGTGGCTCGGCAGGTTGGTCTCGGAGGCTCCTGCTCAGGAAGGCCAGGGAGGAGTGGAATCACTTTTTCATGGGGGACCACTTTGAGAAGGGCCAGCACGCTCTGCTCAATGAAGGAGAAGAGAATGAAATGGTAAGATTCTAGCCACACTCCCCTCTTCCTATTCCCATTCCCCAGCCTCCGATACTGTCCCCTGCCACACACACACACACACATGCACACACATGCGCATGCGTATGCACACACACACACACACTCTCTCTCTCAGACATTCACATGCTTCTTTGCAACTTGACTCTGGTATTATGTGAGAAAAGGTAGTGTCCAAAAAGTCTCTCTGTCCCATAAATGTAATCTCTGACAGCAGAAATTTGCTAGAATGAAAACACTGTATTCATTTTATCAAGAATGTTCTCTTTTTAAATGAAACAGAAAGGGAGAGAAGCACAATGCCACTTTATGAAGCATTTTTGAGCCTCACGAGTCTAGCAAGTTCTGTTCAGAACTTTAATGATTTCAGCAAATCCCTAATGTTGGGATGCAGTGTATTCCTTGATAGGAAGAAACAGAACATCCACAGTGAGGTAGGAGTGCTGCTGAGTCTTTGACTCTCTTCTCACATATCTGTGTTCACAAAGAATGTTGGACTGGGAAAACATAAAATATTAACAATTATCAGCCTACACACTTCGCTGTTTACTTCTACAATTTTGCTTGTATGTCTCTAGGTATAGAGATTGATTACAAAAAACTTTCTGCAGTTCACTGTCTCTTTTATTTTAGATGTGTTCTCCTCTGAGGAACTATAGGAAAATCAAAGATGATTCTCATGTTCTTGCTGAATTTAAAGCTGTATTTGTCAATTACAATGCAATCAAGAGAGAGTTAGAAATGTGTACTTCTGATTAATAAGGCCTTTCTGCTGATTGTGTAAGTATAGTCTATACCAGTCATGGTGTAATTAAAATGTTAAAATGTGGTACTCCCATTCTATAATAGCATTTTATCTTCTTGGAATTAGTATATAAATAAGAAACCCAAAAGATGTTTATTTAAAATTTTTCTTGGTTAATTGCTTTAGCTCTGACTATTAAATTCTTTGTTCCTAAACTGGTCTTTCAAGTCTAATCTGCTTACCTGTTCCTATAGCAACAACATTTTTTGGACCTTCAAGAGTAGATCCCTTTTGCTATCAAAGCTGAAAAAATTATAAGGGAATAAAAGGCACCCAAATCTACATGGGCTTCTTAACCATCTCCTTACTTCTTTTGGATTTGACTCTGCCGAATGACAAGTGTCTTTAGGCCCTAAGCAAATATCACTAGAGATGACCTCTGACCCTATGTTGAGGAGTGAATCTTCTATTATTCTCCATATTGAGTTGAAAATTTGACCCTCATCTTGGGATCCCTTCGCCAGAAGGCAGGGGCTCCTCCCTCAAATCCTCAGATGGAAACACACCCACTCTTTTCTCATACTCTCATTTCTGCTCTTTGACGATTTGTCATTCAGTAGTCATTCAGAGTCATCCACTGGCTAGTAGACATTCCTACTGCTAGGGAAACCACCGTCCTGCTACTCTAGCCTACACATTGCGGCGTGGCAATTTTGTTCACAGTTCATCCTCATAATGGCACCGCCTGGTGCAGCAGGGTGTCAACTTCATGTTGTGTGCCTCTGAAAGTCCAGTTAGGAGGCAGCCTTTGGTATGGAGAGGCACTCTGTGTTTCCCGGAGAGCGGTCATTTGGCCAGCAGTCTCCCTAATGGGGAGATGCGGCCATTAGTATGCAGTCTTGGGCTCTCCATCTTGTTCCGCCTGGAGAGACCTGGCCACCTGCCTGTTGCTGTGTCTGATTCTGTCCCTTGTAACTCACTGCTCCATTCCCCGTGCCCAGAGCTGTAAACTTCCAAAATTATCAAGATCTCTTATTTATTTATGTATTTACTTATTTTTTATTTACTTCTTTATTTACTAATTTATGACAGAGGATAACTGACACACAATGCTATATTATTTTCAGGTGGACATTCCATTGTCAGTGATCTGACAATTCTATACATGACAAAATGCTCACCACAATAAGTGAGGTTACCGTATGTCACCATACAATTTTATCCCAATATTATTGACTATATTCCCTATGCTGTACTCTCCTACCCCATGACTTCTTTATTTTATAACTGGAAGTTTGTACCTCTTAGTCCCCTTCACCTATTTTGCCCATTCTCCCAACCCCTTCCCCTCTGGCAACCACCAGTTTGTTCTTTATGAGCCTGTTTTTTGTTTGTTTGTTTGTTTGGTTGGTTGGTTGGTTGGTTGGTTTTTTAGATTTCACATGTGAGTGAAATCATGTGGTATTTGTCTTTCTCTGACTTATTTCACTTAGCGCTGTAGCTTCTAGGTCCATCCATGGTGTTGTGAATGGCAAGATCTCACAAAAATTATTAAGATGCCTTAAAATTGTTTAATGTTTATTTATTTTTGAGAAAGAGAGAGAGAGAGAGAGCACTACCAGGGGAGGGGCAGAGAGAGAGGGAGACACATAATCTGAAGCATGTGCCAGACTCCGAGCTGTCAGCACAGAGCCTGACACAGAGCTTGAACTCATGAACCATGAGATCATGACCTGAGTGGAGATCAGATGCTTAACCAACTGAGCCACCTAGGTGCCCCCCAAATTATTAAGATATCTAAAAGATAGTCCACATATTTTTATAGTGAGATTGAGTTTACCCAGTATTTTCTTGGCCACTAGCTAATTTGGTTTTTACTATACTTTGTAAGGTACATACTATGAATCACACCTTAAAGATGAAGAAATTGATGCACTGAGAATTTACCTAACGTTGCATCAGCCAGTAAGTCCAGGAGCTGAGATACCATATGAATTAAGTCGGTACCTCTTTTTGCCTCTGGACCTAAACATAGCCTGGTGATACCTTTTTCAATCCTTCCCGAGGACATTGTACTCTTAACAGATCACACTTCCTCCCTTGATATAACAAAGCTTGGGAGAACGTCTGATCTTCGATTCTCTAGGATCTGTTTTGTTATATATGATTTGTAGATTTGTAATTCCTGAATAATTCCATCTTTTCTGACTTCAATTTTAATCCCTTTTAGAAAGCCAAAAAATTATCTACAAATATGTCACCCCAAACTGTTTACAGTTTCTTGCTTTATAATATACATTATTTGGACCTTTGCAGAAGTTATTCCTTCAATGACAGAAATGACTTCAAATTTCAAGAAAAAACAACATTCGGGGGTTTAGCCCTCATGTCAAATGAATAACCAGAATATTTCCAGGCCTAAAGATGCCTGGGACTGTCTTCCATTCCAGAATAAAAGTAATAGGAACTAAAGGGCAACTCTAGGTGATATGAAAGTAATATTTCTTAAGTGCAAAATGAGACAGGAGACAAGAGAAGAAAGAATTTGTTAGAAGGACGAGGAAGAAGGGGGGGGGGGGTAACCTTCAGAACAGGTTCCTCCAGATGACTGACTCCTCCAGATGACTGACTCCTCGAGTGGACCAGAGGCCCAGCTCTCACTTGCCTTGGGCTAGCCACTTGCTGCTGTAGCCTGTTTCCGTATTTGTCGAATAGGAGTGGTCCTTCTTGCCCTATCTGTCTCACAGGGCTCATATGAGGATCTGCTGAAATAAGCTATGGGGAAGGGTTTTGAGGAGTATAAAATTCGAGGTAAGTGTAAGCTCCTATTATCTAAACAAAGGAAGAGTCAGGGCTTCAACAATTAACCAATTGAATGACTAGTACCCCCAAAATGAGGTCATCTCTTCTCACTAAATAATGACAAGGAAGGAATGTACACTTCTATTCACAAGCTACAGAGACCATTTATAAAGAGAGAACTGAGTTCCCTTAGACCTTGTAGTGCTTACTTTGAGAAAACCTCTCCCTGTCTTGGGACTATGTTTCCTCCATTGTAGAGGGAGAGTATCCTACCACCGGGGAGCTCGAATTCCTTTGAATTCTATTGTTACATATTTATGCTTTGAAACATCTTCGAAATACTGAGTGCTCATTTCCTTACAAATGACTTAACAAAGATATCCTGCTTTAATTGATTAGAATATTGCTTACCATTATCCTTAGTTACACCCTAATGAAACCATACTCCTTTGGGGGAAGTGTTTTATTCTAGCGAGACTTGTTTCTGAAAGTAATGTTCCCCGATTTTTTTTTCTTTCCTAGGTTCTAGAAAATACAAAAAAAAATCAACCCTTGAGTTGTTTTCTGATTATAAACATAACATGTTTACTATAAAAATATTGAAATGACAAAAAAAGTCTAAAAAATGAAGTAGATAGGATTCATAAATCTTCCACTCAGACCATGATCAGTATTGTTGACTCTCTTTCTAGACTTATAAAAAGTGCATACGCAAAATTCATCTAACATATAAAATTTAGTAATTTTTTACTACACTTTACTATTATCTATACTGTTGCGTTTATTTACATCTGTGTATCTGTATCATGGAAATACTACATAATGGTGTGCTACTTATGTCTCTTTCGACTCTACATTCAGTAGCCTGAAATGAATAATGTCGCGAATATTTATGCCATAGAAATCGGTAAATGCAACATAGGACTTACATCCTGACCCACCTGAAGGCCAGTTGTTCAATATTTACCAGCATACCACCGAACATATTATTTCTTCAAGACTTCCATTTCCCCCCGATACATGTCTAAATACAGGAAGCATGTTGTATTTGGAGATCACCCATTTATTTGCACTATGCCTCATACCAAAACACAATAAAAGCAATCACACTCTATTCTAAACATGCATACACATTCACAGATATATTTTATTTAAACAAAAAATGGAGTCATTCCATCTATACTTTTTTATGCTGTCCTTTTCATCACTGCTAAAAACATATCATGGATATATTTTCCTTTTGATAATTATTGCTTCCACATAACTATTTTAATGTTTAAATTGTATTTCAATGAACTATGCCATATTCAGCAAATACCTTGTGTGGCACACTTGTATTAGTTCTAAATGTTTTGACTGCGATGGGCAACTTTGTACATGTACTTTCATATATTTGTCAGTTTATTTCCATAGGATAAAGTCCTAGAAATAGCAC